TAGAAACGAGGTCGCCCATAGCACCCACCCCGCACAAGCTACCCGGGGGTGTACTATCATGCGGGGGTGTTTTGTCCGGGAGATTACGGTACGAGATTTCTGAAGACAAAATCTCGTCACATGTAAGTTATCGCTAATGTATTGTAAAGAATAGGCGACTTTGATGCTGATTCGCTGTAAAAACATCTGCAGCACGCACTGGTGTGAATTGCGAAGTTCCTGATTCGTACTGAAAGTTTCGTGTGGCACTTGTGTGATCCTCACATGCCGCGCCAAGCAACAAATCTGCCTGCTGCCAGCTCAGCTGCGTGGCACTTGGCCCACCTGATACAGATCGGGTGAACGATCGAATCGCTTGAAAAGCAAATCCAAAACTGACAAAATCGGCACACATGCGAGAAAATGGGTACAGAACGGTAATCACACACACGACAAAACGAAATGAGATCAGCAGAGCAGAAACAACCATGCGCTGCACGTGACAAAAACACTGGAACGCTGCCGACATGAGCAGAGGCGATGCACGAGCACGTTGCCTGATGCGTTGGTATGGTAAGCCGTAATCAGCCTCAATGCTATTATAACTGCTTTTACGAAACTGCATGAACATCTTAAAATTTGAAGTAACTCTGACAGTTCAGACCAGGGCCTCAGATATCAGGAAAAAAACCCTGAAATTCCTGATTTTGGCAGCCGATTTTTAAGCTACCCTGAACTTTCAGAGTTGGGATTTTTGTTGGACTGATCTTTCAGGTTTTTTTTTTTTGGCCACACTGATTTTCCAGGTTTTTTTCCCGTGGAACACTGATGCCACTACGTTGTAACGAAACCGACACTGAAAGCGAATCTCACCTGTGCCATGTTACCTCGCCCGCAATTACAGGGAATCTCACATTCCCTGTACGTGGGCACCCCGGGGCAGGACCAATGTTGCCTCAGGTTCACTTTGGCTGGTGTTTTTTTGGCGCGTCGCCTCTCACACCATTGGGCAGTTTCGCTGCAGCATCCAGTGTTGGCCAGTCCTAACTTGGCAGACATGTGGTGCTGGCGGGCTGCCAAGGTTCCTGCCCCGTACCCATCATGTGCGGTGCGTTAGGGTTGGGCTGTGCTGGCAAGCACCGTGCCATCCTTCTTGAAGTCGGGGTGAGATGATGATGCCTCCACGCCGCCCAGCCCACCCACCGTTTCCGCCACCCTTCTTGTCCAACCTTTGCATCAGAACCAGGGTTTCCCTCGTTCACCCTAGTGTACCAGGAGGCAGCCAGCCGAGGCCTGAGTTTTGCGCTTGCAATCCCTTGCCTTCGCAGTTGTCTCTAGGTTAGATGCGAGGCCGTACGCGCTGCTTACCATGGCGGAGCAGCTTGATGGCACGGAAAGAAACGGCGACCACGCCGGTGCTGCGCATCGCCAGCCGCATGTAGACCGTACAGAAGCTGTGACCGGCATCGACCTGTTGTTTTCAGGCTTAGCGCAGGTCAACGTCAATGAGAGGCAACCTGAACTAGAGCCGCCAGACAAGATACCGTTCGAGCACATAGATCTGGAGCCGCTCTGTGCGTCCCCGTCAGCGCCAGACATCGAGCAAGACAGTTCACCGCCTCCAGCTGACAATACCACTCCTGAACCAGAGGCCAAGAAAACCGGCCGATACACGCAGTCAACGCTGCCATTCATTCCTAAGGCCGCAGTCGACGGGGCTACTGTGCCTGCGCCAACCGACCAACGGTCGTCGCCCGTGATAACAAAAACGCAGGAGTCGCCATCTGTTCCAGGTCCTTCGAAGCAGTCTGGACGCGACGCGCTCTACGCCGAGGCTCTGTATAAGTACAAGGCTGAGTGGCTGGAGAGGTTTGAGTGGCTAATTCTACTGCGGCAATCTGACGGTCTCCCTGCTTTCAAATGCTCTATCTGTACCGAGCATGCAGGTTATGCTGGAAAGTGCGGGAAAGGCGGGAAGGGCGCCTCAGACGTACAGACTCAGGCGTTCAAGCGGCACGCGCAAACAACCAAGCACAAGGAGGCGGTCAAGAACCAGGCGAAGCTTCTTGCTGAAGCTGGCCGGCAGCCGCGTATCAACGGTGACAACCTCGCTCGTGACACCGAGAAGGAGCGGGTCATCAAGCTGTGTGACTCCCTCCTCTTCGTGACCAAGCAGGATGCACCCATAGAACTATGGGTGAACCTCGTTCGCTACCTCGCGGAGCAGAAGGTGCCGGGATTTCCCGCGAAAGGATACGGCACCTACTACACCACGTGAGTAAACGCCGGGTTTTCATGTTCTTCGTGTTGTGTGTGTTTAACTTTTGGGCACGCTCTAACCGTGATTCACATGCGCCACAGGTACGGCTTTGGCCAGCTCACACAGTCAATCGCGACATGGTTACACACCACGCAGCTCGAGCACATCCAAGCAAGCCCGTACATCGGACTCACTTGTGACGAGAGCACAGACAGGTGTCGAGGAAAACACATGATCCTTTTCGTTACTTTCATCCGTGAGAATCGACCGGTCACTGAGTTTCTGGCCCTGCTGACTGTGGAGAAGTGCGACGCTGCATCTCTCCTCTCAGTGTTTCTGTCTCACTTGCAGGCTCTCGGCATCGACCTTGCCCGGATCGCTGGTATAAGCACCGATGGGGCGAAGGTGATGATGGGACGCAAGAACGGCCTCGTCGTACGGCTTCGCCTCCGCGTTCCACATCTCGTCTCAAGCCACTGTGTTGCCCACAGGTACGTTTTTTGTTGCACCATGCGTAAACTGCTTGACGTGACTGTATCATCCTATGCTAATATCCTGTGTTGCTCGCTTGGGTTTTCTTGTGCCTGCAGGGAGGCGCTCGCAGCAAAACATGCAGCCCGGGCCCTTCCCGAGTTCGACATGGTTGACAGCCTGATCCGTCAACTCGCAGAGCATCTCGGCCGTTCCGGCCCCTGGCATCAACGCTTTATGGAGCTTCAAGAACTCTTCACGTCCACGAACCTGGAGCTTCAGGGGATTCACACGGTCCGCTGGCTCTCCAGGGGTGACGCTGTTTTGCGTCTGGTGGCCGTCTTCCCCGCGATCATCGTCATGCTGTACGAGTGGGACGAGACGCTGTACGAGCTCGCCACGAGCTACAGGTTTCACTTCCTCTTGTACTTCCTGGCCGACGTGCTCGAGCAGCTGAACATCCTGAACAAGTCTTTCCAGCAGCGAGAGGTGAGCGACTTGGCGTTTCCGTGTGTGCTTAACTTGTCTTGATGTCTTGTTATTGTATTTGTGGCTTCTGTGTGTGTTTGTCATTGCAGTTATATTGTTGACAGTCAAACAAAACATTATTTGTGTGAGAAAGCACCCCCAATCTCGACTGCCGTGTTTCCCGCAATGTTATTTCTTTCGCCCAAACATAGCTTGACATTGCAGGTGTGCACGCGCAGATCAGGAGAACCATCTCCTTCCTAGAGACCCGCTACGTCGACTGCGGCGATGATTTTGGGGGCGGGTTGAGCGCGCGCCTGTCCCCGTTCATCATGAAGTACGGGCCGGACAGTGACAACCCCGAGGTGACGGTGCAAGGAGTGGACTCAGACGGTCGGCCCACTAAACACACGTTCAAACTGCACGAGAACCCGAGCGAGGACTACCCAACGCTGGGAAATCACTACAACTGCGTGGATCTCTGCACCTCGTTTGCAGAGGCGCTCGTGCGCAACCTCACCAAGAGGTTTGCAGATTTGGACTCCCTTGTGGGAGTCCGGCTGTTCATGCCCGATGAGTACCCACCAGAGAGAGGAGAGCGCCACAAGCAGTGTCTCGAGTGGCTCATGTCACTCGTCAGGCTGTTCAGGGCAGTGGAGACAGACTACATCCTTCCTGGTACGTGTTTATTGATTGTGCACCAGTGCTGTACTCAGCGTAACATTTTGAACGTAAAGTTCTGTGTTGGTGTCTGCCTCTGCCCTGTTGGTCGGTCATCCTAACGATCACTTATCTGCTTTGTCTGGCAGGGATCGACAAGCGCCGGGCGATCAAAGAGCTGCGAGCCTTTTGCCCCATCCTCGCAGGTGCCCCGAAGACCGAGAGAAGCTTCCATGCCGGCCTCACTGCGATGCTGAAGACAAGCGACTGGACGACCAGCTACCCCAACCTTGTGCGTCTCTGGGTCGCTGTCGCCGTACTGCCGCTGAGCACAGTGGAATGTGAGCGCGGGTTTTCCCGCCAAAACATCATCAAGTCGTGGCAGCGTGGGAGCCTCAAAGACGCCCGCCTTGAAGATCTCGTCACGATGTCGCTCCTCGAGTACGTGCCCGACTACAACGAAATCGTGCAGGTCTGGCGCAGCTACAAGAAGCGCCGGCCCTTTGGCAATGTGGCAGCAGCTCCAGCAAGAGAGGGGCAGGGTAGTGGCAGGGGAAAGGAGGCAGAGGCAGTACAGGAGTGGGAAGCAGAGCCAAAGGCTCAGGGGGGTGATGATGATGATGGCTCTGATTTCGATGATGATGCATGCATGACCCCTATTAGAGATTCTTAGATTATAACTGCAGCAACTCTTCTTGTGACTATTTATTTTAAATGTAGGAGTCTGAAATACAGTCAGTGTTTTTGCAAATGGTACACTGATGCATCAGGCTTTGAAAATTTGCAACACTGAACTTTCAGCTTTTTTTTTTTTAGGACACTGACAATCAGAGTTCCCACGCAGGGGGACCCTGATGGCCTGACGACCCTAAAAGTGAATCTGAGGCCCTGGTTCAGACAAAAAAATTGTGCTTGTCTGAATTTTCAGACTAAAATTTTGAGGCACCTCTGACAGACAGAGTTCCAGGAGGGGTGTACTCTGAGGCCTCAGACTACCTCAAAACGAATCTAGGGGCCTGCTCCGCAACCCAAAAAAAAAAAGGCGGAGACTTTACATTATACACGAATAAATCACATTGGTGGGACATCAGGAGGCGTGCCGAGCAGATGTGGAGCACGCACATGACTCGGAGGCGCTTCACATGGGAGCATGGGCAGACGGTCAGTCCCAGTTCCCATCGGCATCAAAGACCCCTGCATCCCTCATCTCCGAGTAGTATGCATCCTCCATCTCTGTGTCCTCGTCCTATGAGGGGCGTTGAGGAGAAGGGGAGGGCAAGGGGAACGAGGAAGAAACGAGTTTGCAGGCAGGTGGGTGAGTGCAGGTGGCGGCAGAGGCAGCAGAGTGTGGCATGCTGTGGCGAAGAAGAGACGCATGGGAGTGTCGATTGGGAGACGTAAGGATTGGAGTCAAGTGGGCAACTCGATGGCATGGCACAGTAGCATGTTGATGTCAGCAGTGCAGCCGTCGCTCAAGTAGGTTAACAACATGAAGCACCACACCCTGTGGTGGCTCAATCTACAGGCCTCGGCTTATTGCCCGCCCAATGCCATGTGTGCATGCATGTGTGCAGGCATGCGTGTAGGCATGGGTGCAGGGATATGTGTAGGGATGGGTGCGGGCACGCAAGCAAGTGGAGGGAGAGGGCACCTGGAAGAAGTCGGCAAGGAAGGTGATGTAGAGCAGCGGAGGGAAGAGCGCCCAGTACACAAACACTGCCAGCCCTCGCATGCTGGATAGGAGGCACAGCAGCACCCATGCATACCCATCCATTCCCATGCAAATCCATGCATGCATACCAATGCACATCCATGCATGCGCATGCAGACCCATCGATGCTCATGAAGGCGTGTTTTTGGCGGCATTTAAACAATTATTCAAGAAACAAATGCCACTCAAACAACTATTCAAGAAACAAATGCCACTCAAACAACTATTTAAGAAACAAATGCCACTCAAACAACTATCCAAGAAACAAATGCCATGAATAGTGCAAGGAGAAAAGTGCAGGGTGAGAAGAACAGAGTACATGTACTGACCAGAGGGCGGCGGGCACGTGGAGGGTGAGGAGGAGAGAGGCGAAGGCAGAGGCAGAGTGCAGCAGCAGCAGCAGCAGCAGGTAGCGGTGGAAGGCGGGGCGCGCTGCTCACAGCCAGTGGACGGGCCGGCAGGGTGAGGAGAGTTGAGGCGTGCAAGTCATGAGTGCATGGCGTGAGTGCATGGCGTGAGTGCATGCTGTGAGTGCATGGCGTGAGTGCATGGCATGAGTGCATGGCGTGAGTGCATGCCGTGAGTGCATGCCGTGAGTGCATGGCGTGAGTGCATGGCGTGAGTGCATGGCGTGAGTGCATGGCGTGAGTGCATGCCGTGAGTGCATGGCATGAGTGCATGGCGTGAGTGCATGCCATGAGTGCATGCCGTGAGTGCATGGCATGAGTGCATGGCGTGAGTGCATGCCGTGAGTGCATGCCGTGAGTGCATGGCGTGAGTGCATGGCGTGAGTGCATGGCGTGAGTGCATGGCGTGAGTGCATGGCGTGAGTGCATGGCATGAGTGCATGGCGTGAGTGCATGGCGTGAGTGCATGCCGTGAGTGCATGCCGTGAGTGCATGCCGTGAGTGCATGGCGTGAGTGCATGGCGTGAGTGCATGGCGTGAGTGCATGGCGTGAGTGCATGGCGTGAGTGCATGGCGTGAGTGCATGCCGTGAGTGCATGGCATGAGTGCATGGCGTGAGTGCATGCCGTGAGTGCATGCCGTGAGTGCATGGCGTGAGTGCATGGCGTGAGTGCATGGCGTGAGTGCATGGCGTGAGTGCATGCCGTGAGTGCATGGCATGAGTGCATGGCGTGAGTGCATGCCATGAGTGCATGCCGTGAGTGCATGGCATGAGTGCATGGCGTGAGTGCATGCCGTGAGTGCATGCCGTGAGTGCATGGCGTGAGTGCATGGCGTGAGTGCATGGCGTGAGTGCATGGCGTGAGTGCATGGCGTGAGTGCATGGCATGAGTGCATGGCGTGAGTGCATGGCGTGAGTGCATGCCGTGAGTGCATGCCGTGAGTGCATGGCGTGAGTGCATGGCGTGAGTGCATGGCGTGAGTGCATGGCGTGAGTGCATGGCGTGAGTGCATGGCGTGAGTGCATGGCGTGAGTGCATGGCGTGAGTGCATGGCGTGAGTGCATGGCGTGAGTGCATGGCGTGAGTGCATGGCGTGAGTGCATGGCATGAGTGCATGGCGTGAGTGCATGGCGTGAGTGCATGGCGTGAGTGCATGGCGTGAGTGCATGGCGTGAGTGCATGGCGTGAGTGCATGGCGTGAGTGCATGCCGTGAGTGCATGGCGTGAGTGCATGGCGTGAGTGCATGGCGTGAGTGCATGCCGTGAGTGCATGCCGTGAGTGCATGCCGTGAGTGCATGCCGTGAGCGTCAAGGGTGGCACGACTGTTGACGATCAACCACACCAACTCTCTCACCCTCGCACACATCTCCATGCTTCCTTCACCACTCTCGCTCTCCCCGCACCCTTGCACCCACCCGCCTCTCTCTCCCTGGCTACTGCAGCATTATAATAAGACAGCGAATGCCACCCACCAGGGAGGGCGTCGCGCCACTGGGAGAGTGGCAGGGAGAGCAGGGCGGCGTAGACAGCGGCGCGGAGGGCGTCGTGGGCGAGCCAGAAGAGCCACACGGCGCCCGCCGTGGCGACGGCAGGGCGTGGTTGGAAGAGCGGCAGCGCGTGGTGGAACACCAGCGACGCCTGGCCATGGCGCAGGCAGTGGGGCACGGGCGGGGGGTGTGGCGGTGGCACGAGGGTGTGGTGGCAGGGCGCAGAGAGGAAGAGAGGAAGAGGGGTGCAATAATGAGAAGGGAGGGAACGAGAGAGAGGAAGGGGAGAGGCATGCAAAGGGGAGTATGGGCAGGCGGCTCTGTGCACAGTGCATGGGAGGAGGGCGTTGGGGGACGGCAGCGGGGGAGGGCAGGACTGCAGTGGCAGAGGTACATAGTTGGCCATGCGGGCCATGCTGGTGCTTCAACGCCTCACCTTGACTGCCGCGTCAGCGCCAGCGAGGATGGCAGCGATGACAGCGGTGCGCAGCATGGCCTCGGAGGCGGACATGCGGACGCCGTGCATGAGGAAGAGCAGCACGCCCGCCTCCAGCGCCCCCACCACCCACCCCGCCGCCAGCCACGCCCCGCTCAGCCATGCGCTGCTGGTGGCCGGCGCAGCAGCCTCATCTGGTGAGAGCAGCAGCAGCTGGGCGGGGAGAGGCAGCGAGAGGGAACGTAAGAGGGTGAGCACGGAGAACGTGGGGGTACATGGTGTTTGTGAGGAGGATGCAGGTGGGGTGATTTTTATGTGAAAAGGCAAGCGAGCACGCAGCCAATCCGGCAGCTCAGCTCATCGGGTGCCGTTCTCGGTGCAGGTGAGTGGCAGCTTGCCACGCAGGTCCTTGGTTCATTGAACCTCCTGGTTCACACACTGTCTCCGCCATGACTGTGTCACTCCGCCATGACTGTGTCACTCCGCCATGACTGTGTCACTCCGCCATGACTGTGTCAACCTGCAGCTGTCTCAGTTTCCCCAGGTTTCAAAACTGACAAGATACAGTCGGATCGCATTGCTCCTGCTTCCATTGCGTTGCAGCTACAACCTCGTATCTAGTCCCTCCTCCACGTGTATCTAGTCCCTCGTCCACGTTGTATCGGACCACCACTTCACAACAACAACTCCGCTTCAGGTCTGTTGATAATACTCACTACATTTGTTGTCATGACTCACTACACTTTTGTACCCGTGCACAGTTATGTAACCGAAGCACCTCAAACAAAACCACGGCTCCGTTTCGTGCTCATGTGGTGTGCCTGGTACCTGGCGTGTACGAGCTATAGATCACCCCGAACTGGCAGCTGCAAGTGAGAACCTGGAAGTTTCACAAGCTGGGAGCGAGTCAGTCGTCGGGATGAACGCAGTGCCACAGCAACGCGACAGAGACGCGAATTCTCGTCGACAATGGACAATACCTCTTTGGTTTTGACGGATGCACTTGCAGTGAGCCCCAACACATACGCCTCCATGCTCAAGGGCATCTCAGTTATTGCATTCTCGCTGCACAGGAGCTGCACAGGAGCTGCACAGGAGCTGCACAGGAGCTGCACAGGAGCTTCCACAATGTATACCCTCACTGGGGGTGCAGTCACCAGTGTGCAGTGGGGGTGCAGTCACCAGTGTGCAGTGGGGGTGCAGTCACCAGTGTGCAGTGGGGGTGCAGTCACCAGTGTGCAGTGGGGGTGCAGTCACCAGTGTGCAGTGGGGGTGCAGTCACCAGTGTGCAGTGGGGGTGCAGTCACCAGTGTGCAGTGGGGGTGCAGTCACCAGTGTGCAGTGGGGGTGCAGTCACCAGTGTGCAGTGGGGGTGCAGTCACCAGTGTGCAGTGGGGGTGCAGTCACCAGTGTGCAGTGGGGGTGCAGTCACCAGTGTGCAGTGGGGGTGCAGTCACCAGTGTGCAGTGGGGGTGCAGTCACCAGTGTGCAGTGGGGGTGCAGTCACCAGTGTGCAGTGGGGGTGCAGTCACCAGTGTGCAGTGGGGGTGCAGTCACCAGTGTGCAGTGGGGGTCCAGTCACCAGTGTGCAGTGGGGGTGCAGTCACCAGTGTGCAGTGGGGGTGCAGTCACCAGTGTGCAGTGGGGGTGCAGTCACCAGTGTGCAGTGGGGGTGCAGTCACCAGTGTGCAGTGGGGGTGCAGTCACCTGTGTGCAGTGGGGGTGCAGTCACCAGTGTGCAGTGGAGGTGCAGTCACCAGTGTGCAGTGGGGGTGCAGTCACCAGTGTGCAGTGGGGGTGCAGTCACCAGTGTGCAGTGGGGGTGCAGTCACCAGTGTGCAGTGGGGGTCCAGTCACCAGTGTGCACCTTCTCTGATGATGGATTGTGATCACACACCATTTTGCAATGGAGCACGCACGGCAGAGTCTGGTTCACGAATCACGGTTCACGTTTCTGGTAGGGCTGTGATGACACACTCAACCTTGCAGCCCTTCACACTCTGTCGAGACCAACATGCCCAGCCACTGGTTACAAGCCATTGGCTCGGCTCCTCACCTGCGCTCGTCACAGTGGCAAGCCGAGCCCAACTTCTTCCTCATCCAGGCTCGTCTCGTCGACCCAAGCTGAGCCCCTTTCAGCTCGTCGCAGCCGTCCACCTGCAAAACGCGCATGCCGTCCACCTGCAAAACGCGCATGCCGTCCACCTGCAAAACGCGCATGCCGTCCACCTGCAAAACGCGCATGCCGTCCACCTGCAAAACGCGCATGCCGTCCACCAGCAAAACGCGCATGCCGTCCACCTGCAAAACGCGCATGCCGTCTACCTGCAAAACGCGCATGCCGTCCACCTGCAAAACGCGTTGATTCAGAGTGAAGTGCCTTGCTCGCCCAGCTGTGTCGCAGCCGTCCACCTGCCTGCGCATCACAGCTTAGACCGAGCCGGCCAACTCCGAGCCATGCTGATGCTACCACGCAAGCATCGTAAGTTGGTGTGTTTTTACAGCGAGGGGCTTGAGTTGAATACTCCGCCCACTATTGGTGTTCCATGCCATTCCCTTCAAAGCTTCTCATGCTCTCGACCGTTTGAAAAGGAAGATTTCATGTGTAAGACGGCCAGCCGGGCGAGCAGGCGAATGAGAGAGAGACGGCAAGCAGCGAGATGGACTAGCCACAGCATGCAGAGGGATGAGGTGATGAGGGGAGGGAGCAGAAGATGACCCCTCAAAGCATGGCTGCAACCTGCTATCCAAGGCATCAGCGCTGGCAAAGTGCTCTGACCGTGCTGCCTGGCGCAGTGCTGCCTGGCGCAGTGCCAGCTGGTCCGCGGACATCCTTATTCCCCACCTCCCTACTCTTATCTCCACCTCCCGCCGAGCTGACCCCCACCACCCTCCCCAGGCCGCCCCTCACATCAACGGCATTCCACGCCTCACCTGCGCCGTTCCATGCCTCACCTGCGCCATTCCGCGCCTCACCTGCGCCGTTCCGCCTCACCTGCGCCATTCCACGCCTCACCTGCGCCATTCCGCGCCTCACCTGCGCCAGGCTGCGCACGAGGTTCGTTCCCGCGGCGGCCCACAGCAGCGCGTAGAATCCCGCCATCACGGCACACTGCCCGCCCATCATGCCCGCGCTGCGCGCGCGCCGCAGCTGCGCCAGCGCGGGGCGGACGCGGGAGAGGAGGAAGAGCAGGAAGAGGAGCGGCGGCGCAACGTTGACTAAAGCGAACCATGTCCGCGATATAAGCGAGGCGTGCGGGTGCTGCCACGCCAAGCAAAATCCCTCCGCGTATGGGGACGCGGGGGGCGGAAGAAATGGCGGAGATGAGGAGGGCAACGGAGGGGCGAATGAAGAGGGGGAGGGGAAGTGCGCTGCGGGAGGCAACTGCGGGGAAGTGGGGAGAATGGGCGGATAGAGATGGGCTTCGGTGGACGCCATATGGACGGATAGGGCGGATCTCAGGCGAAGGCAGGCGCGGCGTCGTGGTGCGAGAGGACAAAGGTGGTGGCGGTGCTTGTACTCTGAAGTCGAGACTATCACTGCTATTGGAGGTTCATCTGTGGGCGGGGTGAAGTTGTGAGTCCTGTTATAAACACGAAACGACCGGAGATGGAAGGTGGGAACTACGGTACGGAATGTACTGAAGAATGTCAAATACGAGGATAGAAATTGTTATGAGTTGTGAAAGAGAGTGCGCGGAATAACGAATAACGAAGATGTGACTCAATGAACTGACAATACAATGAAGGCACGCGCTAATATAGTGGGTCAACCTAGCTAGGCGGGAACCTCGGGAACACGGGGTTGGGTGCAGGTTGGGCAAAGGAAAGCCAAAGGCGACGCGAGGTTGCTTCGGCAGAAAGCAAAATGGCCGAACGTGCACTTCCGAAAGTTGGGGTTGTCCGCGGTTGAGTAAACCCCAGTAAGGAAAAGGTTTTTCCTTACACCACCCCCCCTTTTAAGAAAGGTGGTCAATATCCGTAGCTCACTTGCGGGCGAGGTAATCACTAAGAAGCGGGGAAGCTTCAAGCGATGCGGATGGCACCCATGTATCGTCCTCACTGGTGCGGTCAGTCCAACAGATTAGAAAATCCACGATGCGCCAAAATCTTGGACGGGTCAAGTGTCAGTTCCAGGACAGGTTGGGCTGTCGGGGTAGCGTTCTGGCGCGCAATGTCTGTCGTGGCAGGTACGAACTTGTTAAAGAGGCAAACATGGAAGGCGTCATGTATACGCCAATCGTCGGGTAGTAGCAGCTTTGCGGTGACAGGTGTCACCATCTTGATGATTTTGAAACGCCCACAAAAGCGTGGCCGTAACTTCGACGGGCCAGGCATGTGCAGGTTTTTCGTGTCAAGTAGCACTAGTTGCCCAGCTGCTAGGACGAGTTATCGTCGTAGAAGGTCGGTGTATTTGCGGGAAGTGGTATTCGCCTAGTGGATTGCGTCCGCAGCCTTTCACGAACTTCCTGCAGTTGTGTCACAAATGTTTGTGACCGCGAGACCGAGTTGTCGAGTGTTGTCGTCGTGGGAACCGTCTGGTCTATCCCATAATTTAAGAAGAACGGGGAGTGATTAGTTGTGCTAGACGGGGCGTCATTGAACGCGAACTCCAGCATGCGAGCGAGTTTTCCAAGCGAGTGGGGTCGGGGCAGTTTTTCCTGATCAGCTGCTCCATAGTCTGATTGGTGCGCTCGGTCTGGCCGTCCGTTTGCGGGTGGTATGGCGATGAGAACTGTAGCTTCGTGCCGTACTGCACCCACGTCTCCTTTTAGAATTTCGACGTGAACTTTGGGTCCGTGTCGCTGATGATCATGTGTAAGAACGAGGAATGAATGTCCAACTTATATCATATAGCTTGTCTGGGCTATAGTGGAGTAGACACTATGGGGTACAGTTTCCTAGGGTTTCCTACTTGTACCCAACCTTGCGCTAGTTCATTCATTCCTCATTTCTTCACATGGTATAGAGCATGTTCCCTAGTGGGAACGCTTCCTTGGGCCCACCACTGAATTTTTTTTCTGACCGGAGCGTCGATCGCTCCTGCCCGAGGCGCGCCTTGTTCGCCTCCCTTCCACGTCCCTCGCGGCCCCTAGCGGCCTCGTCGCCGCCCCTACGCGGCCCTGTCACCGCCCCTAGCGGCCCCGTCGCCGCACCTAGCGGCCCCGTCGCCGCCTCTCTCCCTACGCGACCCCGTCGCCGCCCCTACGCGGCCCCGTCGCCGCCCCTAGCGGCCCCGTCGCCGCCCCTACGCGGCCCCGTCGCCGCCCCTAGCGGCCCCGTCGCCGCCTCTCAACCTACGCGGCCCCGTCGCCGCCCCTACGCGGCCCCGTCGCCGCCCCTAGCGGCCCCGTCGCCACTCCCCTTCCTATGCGGCCCCGTCGCCGCCTCTACGCGGCCTCGTCGCCGCCCCTACATGGCCCCGTTGCCGCCCCTACGTGGCCTCGTCGCCGCCCCTAGCGGCCCCGTCGCCGCTCCCCTCCCTACGTGGCCCCGTCACCGCCACTACGCGGCCTCGTCGCTGCCCCTACGCGGCCCCGTCGCCGCCCCTACGCGGCCCCGTAGCCGCCCCTAGCGGCCCCGTCGCCGCTCCCCTCCCTACGCGGCCCCGTCGCCGCCCCTAGCGGCCCCGTCGCCGCCTCTGCCGGCCCCGTCGCCGCCTCTACCGGCCCCGTCGCCGCCTCTACCGAGCCGCCAAGCACTTGAGCCGCCCAACAGCCGAGCCGCCGAGCCGCCCAGCAGCCGAGCCGCCGAGCAGCCGACCCGCCCAGCAACCGAGCCGCCGAGCCGCCCAACAGCCGAGCCGCCCAACAGTCAAGCCGCCAAGCCGCCCAACAGCCGAGCCGCCGAGTCGCCCTGCCGTCGAGCCGCTACTGTTCCTACCGGCGCGCCCCGGCCCTACTTACTCGGACTGGTGAGGTCACTCCCTGCTAGGCCACTGCTGTCATGGCTACCCCCAGTTTCCTTACCTTTGATGCTGAGGGTTGTGCTGATGACTTTGAGGTATGGGTCGATGACCTCCAGCTGTTCCTACAGTGCGATAGGGCAGACGGACTCTCTCTGTTCGATCTCACCTCTGGTGCTTCTCCTGCCCCGCCTGCTACTGCTGACAGCAGTGTTCGCTGACAGTGGGCCACACGCGATGCTGCTGCCCGTCTTGCTGTGTGTCGCCACTTACCGACCACTGAGCGTGCGCACTTTAGCCAGTACAAGAGTGCTAAGACCTTGTACGACGCTGTAGTTGCACTCTACTCTTCCCCTGCCACTACTGTGCTGAGCCGCCTCATGCTACCGTACCTCTTCCCTGACCTTGCAGCCTTTCCCACAGTCGCTGACCTCATTACGCACCTTGGCACTAGTGACACTCGCTACCGCGCTGCGCTTCCAGCTGAGTTCTGTGCCTAGTACCCCCCTCCCATGTACATCACCCTCTACTACATAATCACCCGGCTCCCTGACTCCCTTCGCTTAGTCTGGGACCACTTCCTCTCAGATTGCCCCACCACACTCACCGTTGACCTCCTCGAGGAGCGCCTCCTAGCAGCAGAGAAGAGCATAGTCGCTGTAGGAGCCTCTCGTGGTGACACTCGCATCCCCGTCTTTGAGGGGTGTTCCCCTTCCCCCCTCTTGCCCTCTGTTGCTTCTGCTGTTGGGCCGACCTCGTTGGTTTCGAGTCGGTCCGTGCTGCGTCTACCCGTAGTGGGAGACGCCGCACCAGCAAGGGCAAGAGGGGCAGGGGCGCTGGAGGGGCTGGCGGGGGCGGTGGAGATGGTGGTGGAGGCAGTGGAAGGGGTGGGGGTGGTGGTGGGAGTGGTGGCGGGGGAGGAGGTGTCGGTGGCAGCAGTGGAGGCGGAGGAGGCGGCGACGGTGACGGAGGGAGAGGAGGCGTCGGAGGTGGCGGAGGCGGCGGAGGTGGCGGAGGCGGCGGAGGTGGCGGAGGCCGCGGCGGCAGCGGTGGAGCTGGTCGCGGCTCTGCGGAGAAGAGTGGGTCCGGTGGTGGTCCGCGCCAGCAGTAGCAGCGCAGTCGTGATACCCTGTCCCCTCAGCAGCTTCGTGAGTGGTACACTGCGCGTCAACGCGGTGGGGGTACTGGTCCTTGCACCTACGTCCTCCGTACCGGCGACCGCGCTGGTAAGCAGTGCGGGGGCCCGCACTCCACCCAGCGCTGCTTCGGCCGCTTGACGGACGCGTGGCATCACCAGTTCCCTGACGCCACTGAGATCCCTCGCTGGGGAGAGCTGTCTAGGGCAGGGGTTGCTATCTTTGATCTTGATTATGATGCTATTCTTGCTGCCATGTATGCTGTGTCTGATAGTGTTGAGGGTGACTGTTACCTGTGTGTTCCGCCTGACCCGAGCATTGAGGCTGCTGCTCTAGGTGCTGGTGATGCTGTTGCTCTAGGTGCTAGTGCGTCTGCTGCCCCAGGTGCTGGTGAGTCTGCTAGCTCAGGTACTACGTCAGCTTATGCCTTACACACCTTCACCCTTGACTCGGTTGCTTCCCGCTCCTTCTTTCGAGACCGCACCACACTCACTCCGCTTAGTCGGCCGGTTGCAATCTCCCTGGCGGACCCCTCTGGGGGTCCTGTCCTTGCTAGCTTCTCCACTGTCTTACCGTGCCCGGCAGCCCCCTCTGGCACCCTGTCAGGTCTCTACCTCCCCTCGTTCTCTACGAACTTGGTGAGTGGAGCTGATCTACAGGATAGGGGGGTTGACCAGTTCACTCCTGCAAGTCAGCGGGTGACCCACTGCATGTGTGCTCGGACAGGCCGACACTTGGCCACGTTCACCCGTCGGCCGGGGTCGAGCCTGTACACACTTACTACTGAGTGTCCTCCGGCTGCTGAGTCTGGTCAGGTAGCTGCATCGAGTCAGATGTTTGCTGCAGCGTCTAGGTCTGGTCTTGAGTCTGCTCCCTGCTCGTGTCGTCTCCTGTCCCACCAGACTCTCCTATGGCACCACCGCCTTGGTCAACCCCTCCCTACCTCGTCTTCGAGGCATGGCCTTCCGTGTCATTGTCTCTGGTCTCCCCGGGTCTCTCCCTCCCCTACCTCTGGGGCCTGGCCCTACCTGCGTCCCCTGCGTCGAGGGGCGACAGCTCGCCGCCCCTCACTCCTCCGAGTTTCCTCCGACAGAGGCTCCGCTGCAGACTCTTCACATGGACGTGTGGGGCCCCGCCCGCGTCCATGGCCAGGGTCACAAGCGTTACTTCTTGTTGGTGGTTGACGACTTCTCGCGTTACACCACAGTCTTCCTCTTGCGCAGCAAGGGTGACGTCATTGAGGTGTTGATCGACTAAATCTGCGCAGCTCGTCTCCAGCTCAGAGAGAGTTTTGGTACGGACTTTCCTGTTCTGCGTTTGCACTCCGACAGAGGCGAGGAGTTTTCCTCTGCCCGTTTGGGAGCCTTCTGTCGAGCACAGGGCATCCGCAATACCTTC